TATATAACTTATCTGTAGGGAAAGTCAAACTACTCTTCCAGTTAGTGTCCTTGAACCAGAGTAAGTCTCTTCAGCGACATATACTCTCACTGTGAAATGGTCTTATCACTCCTTACATTCCCCAAGTTCTTTTAAAATATGAAATAATTGTATTATACTTATACAAATTTCACTGATAATATATGTGTAGCTATATGCCATTTAATGATGGGGATATGTTGTGGGAAATGCAACACTGGATGATTTAGTTGTTATGAGAACATCCTAGCATGTACTTAAATAAGCCAGAGTGCCTTTAATGTCACTAGACAATATCATCTTTTGTTTTTTTATTATTACACGTTTGCTGTACACAAAGATTACATTCATTATGAGAATTTGCTAAAGGTGCATAATGCATCTTAAATGTCTTACATCTCATTGTCTTCCCTTTCTCCTCCCTCCCTGCATTTCTAGTTCACCTTCTTATTTGCAGAAGATCTATCTCCCTATCTCATAATATCTTTTATTTTGCTCTTTATATTATTTATAGCTTATGTTTCTCCCACCAGTGTCATTGACCAAGATATCATTATGCAGCCCATGACTATTTATGCAGCTGTAGCTATATCTACATCTACGCTATATGCAAATACACATGTAGAGTGTTAGGATGAGACCACTCCATTGTATCACTGATCCCATTATGTTAGTGTTTAGATAGTGCACATCCCTATTTTTCTGCATTCATTTAAGGAAAAATTCATTACCACTTCAATATATTTCTAACTGGATGGAATTTGAATCACTAATAAATATGTAATATTATTCTAGTTAAATTAGAAACAATATTACCAAGGAAGGGTCTTTTTGGCACAATAACTCTACCCGTGTTACTGTTAATATGAGAGCATTGATAGTAAAATCATTCTCAAAGTCAAAACCTTTCACATTCACTTCCTTGTCACTTATCTCCTCTGTACCAAGTGCCCCTCTTTATCAAGTACAGAAGGTCACATTCCGTTTATTATGGAATGAAGCTACCATCCTCTTTTGATACCTCATAGATGCTAATGACATGCAAATTCCAAAGTAGTTAAAGAAAAACAAATACCAAAGCATTTTCCCAGTTAGGAATTAAAGGAGGCCTCAGGTAAACTGAGCCTAGGGACATACTCAATAATCATATAATTATAAATCCCTTAGGTCCAAATTTTGATAAAAGTATGATTAAAAATGTAGAAATCCATACTATGATTTTTATAGAATGTCAGTTTAGTTGTTCAATGGTTATAAATTAGCCATTAGCAATTGATTGTTCTAAATGACTTATCCTTTCCAATTATCATTTCATCTGTTTTCTATATTAAAAAAATCAAAGAAATTCAAGATATGGGAAAGACACGCTGTTTCAGGATCTGAAACTGATTTGGTAGCTTTGGAGTTGACATAATCTTGGCCTGGTGCAGCTCATTTTGAAAAGCTGCCTCAAATTTCCCCTGGTTTTGAACTTTTTTTTTCCTTACCACTTTCATCTAGCAAGAAATCATCTTGGTAACGGAACTTCTCCGGTCCACATGCAATAAAAATGTCATCGTCACCAAAAAAGTCCTGAAGGCACATCACCTACAAGAGAAAAGCACGGTACTCAGCAAGGGGCCGCAGAACAGCAATTACAACAATGCATCCCAGCAAGTAGACATCTGCATAAAGCCACTTCCCCCTCTAATGGAATCAACAGGGCAGCTTCTCCAGGAATTTCAAAGGAAGGGCTCAAGCATCTGTTCCTAGTAAGAAACATGTTATGTCTCAGTTCTGCAGGAAGACGGGATAAGGCAAATAGAACCCGTAACTGTCACATTTATTACTTGATATATCAATAGGCTATGAGGTAGGAACCCTTTGTTTCCATAATAAAGTAGATGCAGCAACATGTGGGAAAGGAGCACCCCTTCACTCTGCTGAATGTAAAACTCCAGGATAGCAACAAAGTCAGCAGACAGTTTTGTCTTTTAGTAACTGATGCCATTGTATGCACATATGATAATCTCTGAGGAAAATATCTGTAAAATAATTATGTACACATTAATCTCCTTTAGACCCATTCTACCTCCAGTTGAAAGAAAAATGGAGCCTCTTATAAAACAGTCATTTCAAAGTTAAGTTAATGCTGAGGTTTCAATACAGAGACTAAAGTACCTGTGTACCCACCGCTCAAGAGAGCCAAACACTAAAACTCCCAGACCCTCCATCCAGCTCCTTGTTGTCATGAAAAGAAAAGTTTTAATGCAACCTTTGGATAGTTTTCCACTTGTTCTCCAATAAGAACATTAAAAGAAGAAAAATGAACCAAATTTAGATTTCCTTGCAAGAAAATACAGTCAAAATGAATAATTTTTAGCATTTCACTGTCTTTGGAGAGAATTGCAATGTTTTGTTCATACTCTGTATAACATCAACAGTAGAAACACTGCTGATTTCTATTTGTTTTCAATTTCCTTTGACTATTTCAGCAAATTATAAGATGGCCAGTGAAAGCGCCCATTCAGAGTTCTATGAAAAGAATTTTGAATAGCATTTCCCAATGGCGTTGGAGTACCAGCGACAAACCCTTCTGGAGTGATAGTCTCTTCACCTGTGTTTTCCATTAGCATCTCTTATATTTGCCTGCAGTTCCATCGAAGGACACCTCTGGAGTCCTTTATCTTTGTCAACCTCTGGCAACCCTACCCCGACACATTACATGTGTAGTAAGTTGAGAAAATAGGAAATCAGAAGGACACAGCATTATTTGGAGTTCTCAAATGCAGTGGTGTGTGGGTTTCAGATAGTGTTTCCAAATGACTCTTAATTTTCAAAGAATCACTTGGCTACAGCTTTAAAAAGGAAATTCCTAGAACAGTTTGATATGACGTTAAGTATGAATAAAGGCATCTGTGGTTGTCGCTCATTCTGTCTGTGAAAGCTCAAAGGCACAGGTGCCACAGGAGGATACTGAGAAACACAGGCCCAAGAGTTTAAGTGTGGTATCAGAAGACATGATCTACTTGGCTTAAATATAGGTCCTTTGGATTCAGGATCTGCCCTCCTGTCATTCCTCTCCCTCCCGCCATCCCTGACCTCACTCATCTTTACCTTCATGAGAGCCCATCTCTCTCTGTCTGCATTAGTGTCATCCCAACTAAACGCACACAGGCCATTTTCATCTTACGTGTTTAAGTCTTTACTGAATTTCCCCAAGATCCCAGATAGCACACAGCGCTGACATACAAAAATGAATGAGACGTGATCTCTCCGTCAGGCAAAAATGTGAACAATGAGCCCAAAAGAGCACTATTCCCTAAAAGTGTGGTTGGCTGATACGTTTGTGCAAAAGGGGAGGGGTCCTACGGTGAAATAAAATGCCGAACTTATCCAAGTCCCTTTGTTTCTGAACTTTGAAAAATCCATAATTGTTGATGGAAGCTATAACCCCAAAGAGGGGACAGGAAAATCCAGAACTCTTTTTCTCATGCTGTGCCATACAGACTCACATCCTACAGAGTTCCCCTTAGAGAAAAGAATGCAGGGAACACACAAAGGAAAAGAATTACCCACACTCTTCCTAGATAAACATGCTTGCTTCTCCAGTGATCAATATTTATTTGCTAACTCATTTACTCACTCAAACTTCTACATTGTGCCTGCTTTGCACCAAACATCATGGCAAGTATCTGACAGATGGAAACACATTTTTAAGGAAAATGGTCCTTTTGTTCTGCACATTCCGCCATTTGCATTTTAGACCATTGGGTTCAAACCAGTCCACATTCATCTATAGTGTGTATGTGTTATATCACTGCTCGGTGGGTAAACAACCATCATCAGAACCGCGACAGGGCATAAGCAGGTTGCCAGCCAACTCATTTCTATCATTTTACTGATGACCATCTATCAAGTCTGAGACCTAAAGGACAGAAAACATAATGACCCATCTTGGATAGTTAAGGCATAATTCTGCTGGCAAGTGGGAAGTGAAACATGATGAACTTCTGATGTTCTTTCTAACAACAGGATTCCGAGAATATGAAAAGAACACAGTGATAGTTAAGGAATAGTACCTGTTATCACTACGCACCAAAAGTCAGGCAAGAGTCATTTGGTGCTGAGCATTGTGTACCCATTTACCCCTCAAGCTTCACCGACAAAAAGCAAATAAAAGGCTGGGGGTTTAGCTCAGTGGCACAGCGCCTGCCTGGCAAGCGAGAGGTCATGAGTTCAATTCCAGGTACCCGAAAAAAACAAACAAAAACAAAAAGCAAATAATCTGCTGAACTATCAGAAACTCTGATGTTTTCCGTGCCTTCTGCTTTGCATCATTTTGTGTTTTTCCAATAGCAACTTCCCGCTAGAAAAGGTGGGTGAGGTCAGGTGATCAAAATTCAAATATAAAACTTTTCATTAGAGAAGAAGGCTTTGGTAAAAGAGTTGAAAGCAAGGGATACTTAGACCCAAGGTTAAAATAAGGGTGAATTTAGGATAATCGGTTCACTCCAATTACCCATGCTCTCATATCCTTATCAGTGATCTAGAGGTGACTGTCACACATTCCATCTAACAGAAAAGAACAGCAGAAGGTTTATAATCCTTTTCTCTGGGCAAATATTCCATGAGAATTTTCCTTGAAGCGTTACGGTATGTTCTGGTACGAACTTATTATATGAAGTAGAGAAATGTAAAACCTGCATGTAAAACCAGCATGGTCACCAGCTTATGAAATAGGCTCCATGTCTGAATGAAAAATAGGCTTCTTGCTACAGGAGGACAGTGACGGTCACCTCTTGTGCTATGGAATCTGCTCAGTAGGTGTCAGAGGAGGGAAGCATTCATCAAGGTTAGATTCAGGGTGGATGCCAAGGTAGAGATGCAAGTGTGAGAAAAGAGGAAAAGGAGCACTTTGCAAGCTTTCCCATTTCACGTCATCCTCTTGCCACCCGAGAAGACCTGGTGTCACCCGTGCTGCTCATCCTTTTTGTCCTGCTTTGGTCACAAGTGGTCCCCTGCCTCATCTCTGAAAACCAAGCCTTACCCAGCCTTTCTCCCTTCCTCCCTCATTATCACATCGGTTTTGAGTCCCTCCTTCTCCCGTGGACCTTGGCATTCCCCTTGCACGCCCCAGTTGTCTTAGCTGTGAAATAGTGTCTGACATGTAATAAGCATTTGTTGGATGGAAGGAAGGATGAATGGATGGGTGAATGGACCACTCTAAAGTGAAACATGTTCTAATTTATCTGCTTTATTCTTCTCTAAAAGGGGGCTAATCTTTCCTATTTGTGTTTCTGTATGGAAATCTCTTTCCTATTTCCCATTTTTTCCTACCTACTCTTTGCCTGTTTAAATCCCTCTGACGGTCTAAAGGACAGCTGCAGAGTCAACTCGTAGCTTCTCCACTCACTCCAATCCCATAAGACTCATCAACCGATCTGAAGCTCTAGTCGTCATTCAATAAGCATTTACTTATTAAGCACTCGTTATTAGTCAGCCCCTGCTCTAGGTTTTCAGAACACAGCTTGCCTTCACGTAGTACTGAACCTTTACCTCTTCTTCTCCAGGACATAAATCTACAGTCTTAGAACCTCCAGAACTCCTCCAGTACTGATGTCAATCAGTAGCTTAACGGTGAGTCACTTCATCACCTTCCACTGGTTCTGTCAAGGGCTATGGTCTGAATTCCAGCCCTTGCTCTGCCACCTTCACTGACTGAGCAAGTTGGAAACTCTAACCAGCTACCTTAAAATGAGTTCCTGCTCCTAAAAGCTCCACCTACATGGAGGGCAGAGGCAGTGTCTCCATTCTTTGGCATTAAAGAGAGGCTGCTCTGGGGCTATTCCCTAGAAACATGACGCTGTTCACAGAGCCCAGGTCCTGGGTGAACTCAGCTCTGGAACTTAGATGTTCATGTCGGCGCCTAAGCATATTAGATCAGTTGTTTTAAGGATAGGTGATCTAAGGTCATTAATAGAAAGAGAACAAGTTCCCAATACATTTTAGCTATTTTTTTAACTAAATGCATTTTACTTGCAAGTAAGTATCAGTCAAATGCATACTTAAGAGAAAATGATTTTAAAAATTAAAAGCACAGTGTATAGCTCCTGAACACTTAACAGAATTCTTCTCTAAGCAGACCTGGGGTGCCCCTTATTTCCTTGGGGATTAGGATTCTATTGGTATTATTCTTCTGATGAAAATCATACTTTGGCTTAGTATCGGGGAATTTGTGCAAAGCTGGTAAAAGTTGCTCACATAGCATGGGTATGGCCTCTGCCTCTGACTACCATTAGACCTCCACTAGATGATGCTTTAAAAATTCATTGGCAAGTACATTCAGCTGATATCACCCATGAATCATTAGCTTAACTTAGAGTCTCTTGGGGTCTGTCACCAGCTTTTAGATTTGTGGGAACCAGAGATTTATATCCCTCTAGGAAACTTCTGTTGAAATAGTTTATAGTAGAAAATAAAATGTATGTGGATTATATGTAATTTATAGGAAGGTTATCTGTCTATACACTCAGTTAATATTCCATTAATTTTCAGTTCTCAGTGCTTTGGTTATACAGCAATATAACTTTCCTTCCTTTTCATTG